TTTCGACAATGCTCTTTCCAGTGGCATCGTTTTTAAATATTGAGAAAGTTTTCTGAAGGGTTTTCCAGAGACCGGATCTCTGGAAAACTCCTTAGAAAACTTTTTCAAAACCCAACTCTCATGCCATTAGAAAGAGGATCATGAAAAACCTATAGAAAAATGGTTCATGAAATTTTCGTTCACTTATAAAGCTAAAGTCCGCCTGCTCTAGCAAAAAATGCCCACTGTGCGGATATTCATGGGCATGGGTAATAGACACAACCGCAGATCTCTATCTTATAGCCCGGGCACTACCCTTCGAAAAATCTAAGTTTTTTTCATGGCACGATCATTTCTTTTATTTTTTTATATAAATCATAGATGAAATCACCATTTTTTAAAATTTCATAGTAGCATAACGTTCGCGATTGACTTCATTGTTCAGTGACTCCTATCCTGCTCTATGATAGGGTGGGGAAAGCGTGTCCTGCACATCTCTAATCCTAGACAATGAGAACTTACTGTATACTGGTGGTATCGAAGTAAACTTCCTTATTGCATTCTGTCCTCGAAGACAAAACCGAGTAAAACACATTGTAACGTATATACTAGAGAGTAAGTTGAAGGGATGGAAGGTAGACAGAGAACGACATTCAATTTTTGAACAGCTCTGACCGTCTCTTTTTTGTGATGCAATTGAATGCTTCATCACAGATTAACAAATTAAAACAATTATCTCTGAAAAGCAAAGCATTCCAAAACCAAAGTGTTTTGGAGAAAACTTTTCGGGTACCGAAGAGGGTATACTCAAGAACGAAAAAGGATATACCCTTTCGATTTTCGAAGAAACTTGAAGTCTGTAAAGGGTTTCGGCGGATACGATTCTTCTATTTTGAACATTTTCCTTCAACATCTTTTGGGTTCCCGAACTACTAGAAAGCCTTTACTGTATTCTAAAATATCCTTTCGGTTTTCGAAGTTACTTTCAAAGCCCTGAAGAGTTTTCGAACCACTTTCAGTTTCCGAAGGAGCACGTTTTTTTAGAGAGTACAAGGCACTATATTCGAAGGCAAGCGATTCGAAAGATTGTCTCGATAATTGAATGATTGAAGAGATTATGAAGTTCAACGTCAGAATGAAAAAAAAATGTTAAAAATGTGCAAAATGTTAAAAAAAAATTTAATTGAAAATTTTAAGTATCAAAACGAAGTTCCTTTATAACCACAGGGACAAAAGGAGAGTTTTGTCATTATCCATTTCATAGTAGAGTGAGGGAAAATGACAAAAAATACATCTAAGAGTACGCCTTAAGCCAGTACAAAATTCAAGCAGACGACCGTTATATATTGAAGGTTACTTCTTCTCGAAAATACATTCATTCCACTTCAGAACCCCTGTTAAAAAAACCTATGAACAGAAATTTTTAAGTATTAGATATGACTTCCTTTTGCTGGGAGAGCATTTTTGTTAATTAGCCATTTTATAATATTTGAACAATTTCTCTAAAACGAGTTGACAAACTGCTTGCTTAAATCAAGGTTGAGATCTGATGTTTATTTTGAAAAGCTGACAACTTTCTATGAAACAGACGTAAAAAAAGTGAAAAAAAATATGGATAAGAATAAAAAATGACTCATGATACAAGAAAAATATATTTATTTTACGTCTATTTTATTTAACTTGCTGATATTATGTTTATATTCTCCATAAAATTCTGCTTCTAGCAGTATGTGAAGTTTTTTAAATCACAAGTTTTGAATCACTAACGCTCCAAAGGGATGGTCGGCACTTTAAGGTTGTCTGTGATCCATCTTGCAGAGCTTTTCATACGTCACAAGAAGTATGATTCGAGCTTTTCGAAACTATCTTTTGAATACTTCATGATATCTAAACTTTATTATTACACCAAACCAAAAATATTTATTAAAAAAACAAACAGTTTGTTCAAACGTCTACTTAATTAGCGCTTTTATATGTATGTCTTCTGTATGTGATACACAAAACCGAAAGAAAATCAACTTCCCCATTGAGATCGAAAAATTAAAAAGTACCAGGTAGAGCGCTACGCCCGTTGCACGCGCACGTCACTCTCTGTACGTGATGTACGTTTCGACTGGCACGCATGACGAATGTGTATACACGGTGCCCGTACCGAGCGTGACCTGATTTTCTCTCTCTACAGTTCCATAGTAACATGTTTATCTGACAGCTATGATAAACCTTTAAAAATGGTAAATGGTAAGCATTGTACGCAAGATATGCATTTTGTACAGTAAATACATATGACCTACGCGCATGTCATGTGCACGTTGTGTACAGAGCGTGACGGGCGTACGGCCCGACCTTAGTAATCTGACCAATATCTCCCAATTTCTCAAAGGTGGTTTTTGGCACTTTTATGTGAAGCGCCTGCTGCAAAAATCAATAATTTTCTCAGATTTTGTTGTTTCCGGGGAATTCCTTTTTCATGGTATCTAGAAGTCTGCTTAGAAGACCACATTCGGACGTCATTATTGCTCAACGTGACTTTAAAAATACCTCTGTTACAAAAAACATCGTGTGCTGATAATGTATTTTTTAGACTTCAAATTAAGAATTAAAATGGATGGAAAAATGGAACGAAGCACAAATTTAGAAATTGCTTCTATCAAACGTTAGATAGAATATATAAATCCTTTTAAAGTGAATCAGGCATTTGCACCTACGTTTATCCAATATTGAGCTATTTTGTATCACAATCTATTAATAAATTCACTTCTTGAAAGTTCGAATTAAACCAGTTGCATATATAAAGAAAAAAACGGCTGATTTCTTTTTGAAGAAGGTAGAAGGTTGTCCCCGTTGAAGCAGTTTACATAGGAAAGCACCACGGTTTTCTCAAAAGATTAAGTTAGGCCCATGTAAGTATTCAAGCAACAAAAAAGCTGGTAGATACACTACTTCCGATGTTAATCAACGTGTCATTTTCAGACTAAGTCGTTTATATTTCTTCAATTTTCAGCAGAAAATCAATGTTGCTATTGGACTAATATATTTCAATGTTTGTATCAAAATTATGCTTTCACAGATGATTTAGCTTTTAATTTGCAATTGATTAACACATTTTTATATCTTTTTAGGAGTCTATTGTAACGAAAACAAATTTAACATTATGTAAATTCAATTATTTTCAAGCATGTTGGTGTTCATCGACAAATGCAAATTTATCATCATGTAATTTTCTCTTACGCTATGTGACATCGAATTCAAGTCATATTTGTATATGGCACATTATTCGTGAACTCATCGAATGTTTTGATATATCTGTTTTAAATCGAACAGTGTCAAGTACAAAATCGTCCATATTGAGTAATTATCAAAATCACACTTATTTTCCATCATCGTTTTACTCTTATTGCACTATAATATTGTTTATCATTGGTTTGTGTGGTAACGGATTATCAATTCTTACTCTACTATCAAAATCATTAAGGAAATTAAATGTATATCGAAATTTGGCTGTTATTTGTAGTTTAAACATTATATATTTAATATCGATATTTGTTCGTTATAACAATATTTATAAACATGATATACGAAAATTATCGGTTGAAATATGTCGTCTTCATTCATTTCTTGTTGCTTATGTTGGCCATTTATGTTCATGGCAATTGTGCTCAATGTCAATTGAACGAGTCTATGCTCTTCTTAGTCTACAATCATATCGTCCCACATCATGGATACGTACCGCTCTTTTATTTTTAATGATTGCAATACCATTATTTCTATTTGATGGTCAACTACTATTCAGTTATGGTTTAAATTCAAAAATAAAGTCCATTTGTCCATTTAACGTTATAGAAAATGTGACAAACAATGATAACAACAGCAATGATCGCGATGTGTCCGATCATTTTCAAAAAGCATTACGATATCCAATTAACTTATCGTCAACAATAATCAATCAACCATATATATATTATACGACATCAACTCAGAAAATGTTTTTCGATGCTCCGATCAAACAACGTCATAGAGTAGGATGTGTGCTATGGAATATTTATGATGGATTTATTTATGCTTTAATTCCATTTATTATTACAACCATATGTAGTTTCATTATCGTTCTCAAAGTATGTGAAAGACGACGTTTAACAGTTATTACTGGTGGGAATCGACATAGAGGGCAGAAACAAACAACATTTAAGATTTCTGATAAATGATCATTCATTTTAAACGTCCCATACAGAATGACAGGGATAGACTGTAACTAACTCACAATTTGAGCAGACAAATTTGACATGGACAAGAGTCATATTCAAAAGCTTTTGAGTATCAAATGCTAATCCTTTTTTTTATACTGGTCATCCTTAATAAACAATATAGAACCTGTCGGTTATTTTAATCGCTGTTAATGTTTTATTTCTTTTAATGACAAGTCCGTTTAATTTTTATTTAATAATTCATTCGTTTCAACCTAATGCAAAATGTTTTCAACATCCATCATTGAATGAAAGTCTTCAAACAATACAAAATGCTTATCATGCATTGAATTTTTTATTCTATTGTGTTGTTGGTAAAAAGTTTCGAAATTCATTTGCTCATATCTGTTCCAAAATTTATGACCGATTATTACATCGCTATACATTCATACGTGTAAGGTTACGACGTTGTAAGAAAAGACCGCCTTCGTTGAATGAAATGGAAATGTTGAACATGAGTAATAGTCATCCAGAATATAAATATCACCAATTTGTAAGAGAATTACAACAGACATCGATCGATTCTGTGGAAAGAATTTTTGTAGAAATGAAAACTTTAGAACCAAACGACAGAGCATCGGAAATAATTCCTACCTTTGATGATTAAAAATATTAGAAATTCGTCTTGTTAGTGTGCCAGTTTTTAGTAGATATCAAGAATAAAAATATTACTATCTGCTTCAAAATAGAAGACACTCTGATTTTTTTGGAATAGCTTCTGAGTGGTAAGAGGTAGAGATCTGTGGCTTTCAGATTATGGAGGAGGACACCTAGGGGCATAATTCTATGCTAAATTTAGCCAACAGATCTACCATGTGAACCTTTCGAACCTGGCGTAGGTCGTAAGTCTCCAGCTACTGTGATTCGGGTGCTGCAGGCAATCTTCGGGAGTCTACCTATCGACTAAATCTGAAGTCTGGAAACCCTAAAAAAAAAAACGTGAAACATAGGTTTCCGAACACGGAGAATCTTGTGGCAATGTTTGTTTTGTTCTCCAGCTTAAACAAACTTCAAAAGATGGATTTTTCAGAAAATTTTATTTTTTCGCTGTGATCGTACTAAAAAACCCTAGTACCTTCATTTCTCAATCAAATTGCCTGAAAGTTGAAGAGTGAGCATAAGAGAACGTGTTCTATCCGATCTCACCATCAGAACTACCAAGAATAAAGCGGATCTTTAACAGGTTTTTCGGAAAACCTCTGCAGATCTTCAGGTGAAATTTCAGTATGAGAAGTAATTTTAACATTCCTGAACTGTACAACAGGCGAAACTGAGTGCGTTTTGAAAATCTAGAGCAATTTGGTTGAGAAATGACGGTACTAGGGTTTTTTAGTACGATCACAGCGAAAAAATAAAATTTTCTGAAAAATCCATCTTCTGAAGTTTGTTTAACCTGGAGAACAAAACAGACATTGCCACAAGATCCTCCGTGTTCGGAAACCTATGTTTCACGTGTTTTTAGGGTTTCCGGACTTCAGATTTAGTCGATAGGTAGACCCCCGGAGATTGCCTGCGGCACCCGAATCACGGTAGCTGGAGCCTTACGGCTTACGCCATGTTGTAGAGCGACATCTGTTGTATATCCACATACGTTTAGAGCAGTGCTTTGCTATGTAGATCTTTAGAACGGCAACCTCAGACATCTTATTTTGAAAGGTTTACCATGGTAGACCTGTCGGATTTGTCTCAATTTAGCATAGAACTATGTCCCCAGATGTTCTACTCCATAATCTGAAAACGGCAGGCCTCTACCTCTTACCACTCAGAAGTTATTCAGAAAACATCAGCGCCTTCTATTTTGAAACGGATAGTAGAATAAAAAGTTCTCACCAGTATAGGATTCTGTTCTTTTAATCAATGTTTTTATGTAGAATTAATATTCTTCTTTTAAGATAAAAAATGATTTTCAAATATAAAAAGCAACAGCCGAGAGAAAAAAAAATGGCTCTCTTTTTTAATAGTGCGAAAAAAACAGACATGCTTAAGTTTTTTACGTAGACACAAAAAAGAAACAAAACGAAATATAACAAAAACGGATAATAAGATTAAAGCGCACATGCAGAAAAGAATGTGTATCGACGAAAAGCGAAAAGAAAAATACCCAACGATCTCAATCTAAAATCGTAGTAGAAAAAAAAATTGTCACTCTTTAAAAAGAGAAACTAGATTCCATGTGAGCAATCGTACTAGCTTAGCTGGTCAAAAGAAAATATTTTTTATAACTTCTTAAGTATTTTCTGATGACTTTTATAGAAAATGAGGAAGAAAAGTCAAAAGCACAGTCATACATCGCGTAGTTTCTTGCTTATCAAACAAAAATCAAGAAAGACAATCGGAAAAACTAGAAGGAGAAAAAAGTAATAGCAAATGACAAAAAGAAAAAAACCAACTAAGATTTAATGTAAAAATATATCTTAACCAAAACAAAAAAAAAATATCCGGTCGTGAATTTGTGTATATATGTGTAGAAAGTAGGAAGTTTTCATATAAAAACGTCGATTAAAAACAGCAGCAAAATAGTAGAATAGAAAATTATCGAACGATTGATCTATGTGTAGTAATTCTATATGAATGAAAATTCGAATAAGGATGGAAGTAACGAACGATAATCGAGAAGAGATCTAGTGTCCAGCTACTAATGTAGTTGTAGTCGTTGTAGCAGGATGTTTTAGATGAGCAATTGGATCATAGCGTAATACCATTTCTCGAGCATCGGGATGTAAACGTAAATATTCAGCTTTTGCATTTGAATAAGCACCAACCATTTCGTCATAATGAATTTTTTCACTTGTATTACTTAATGTACAGCTAAAACAATAAAACAATAAATTAAAATAAATAGATTTAGTATTTGAATATATTGAAGGATATTAGCCATTACTACATATCAGAGATGGGTGAAACAGAGTTTTTGCACTTCTCATCTTGTCTTCTGTTTTTCATCTTATTTCGTACCAAAAAAAAGTTTTAAGAATTATTTTCTCTCATCTCGTGTAAACAAAATTCCATCTTCATCTATCTATTTAATACTTATAACATTAAAAATATACAAAAGTAATGAAAAAAGAAATAAAGGTCCCTTCGCATTTCTGTAATCAATTTTTTAGATGTCAAATAATGTGTCTAGAAAGAATGAATTTTGAATAAAACAATCTCGTTCTAAGCTATCAAATTTTGTTTCGCCAAACAATTTTAAAAAACTTCGTTTGATTTTGTCTCCTTAATTTTGCCAGATAAGACCGTTTCATCGATACAAGTAAACAAAGTAGAACTGATATCGAACTTCATCACTTTTGTGTTGAAATTTTTATTGTCTGTAAATAATCCTTAAGTGCCAACACATACCGGTCATTATTTGTGAAATGATCGTAGCCGTTAATTTGTTGACGACACATATAACAAATATACAATCCACAACTTGAACATGTAATTTTGTTACTAAAATATAAAAATAATTTATATAAATATACTACATTCGCTATCACAAAACATCTATCTCACCATCCATCGGTTTTATAAAATTTTGTTGTACAACGTGGACATTTTCTAATCATTGCTTCTGTTACATGTTCTTCAATAAATTTACGCATTTCTAATTCAATACCTTTTTCTACTTCGTCACATCTCAATGGTATATGATTTAATTCTTTACAAAGTCTAATAAAAAAAAACAAATGTTCTTTAGCTAAAAAGTAAATTAAATAAAGTAATTTTTTCATTACCTGCACGTTTCTCGCATACAATCTGGATTTAAACAACGAAATACTTTATCATCTTGATTATCAACAATAACTGCGTACGGACAATAGGGACAAGTTTCAAGACCATCAATTGAAGCTAAATAAAAATAAATAAATAAAATGATCAAGCTTAAAAATTGACATTTTCAATATATACTATTGTATTTTTATACCTTGTCGAATATTTTCTTCTTGTGATCGTTTACTTAAACGTTCAATATCTTTTGGTGGTAATAATTCAGTTAATAAACGCATTGAATATTCACCGTGACAACCATCGCGAACACATGGAAAACGACATTTACCCTCTTTAAAGCCTGTTTCAACATAGGTACGAACACAAACACTAAAATAGTAAATATAAAAACAAAACAAAGTTAATTTTGTTCACAATTTTTACTTACCGACATGCTAGATGACCACTAGCCGCACTACATTCAACCATATCGTCAACAAGTAAATCTTCTCCCATACAAACTTCACATTCAATGGTTTGATGTCCTCTTTTCGCCTTTTTCACTTTTTTCTCATGTTCTTTTATTTGTTTTTGAATATAACCTAATAAAATAAATAAAATAAATATATTTATTGATTAATTTCATATTTTGTTTGTTAAAATCGTTCAACTTTACACATACTTCGAATTTTTTTTTCATTTTTAGCGAAACGTAACTCATCATAAAATTCTTCACATGGTATCATTGGTATATCACTAAACGCATACTTATTCTTTCCCGTACCAGCCCAACCAACAGTAGAACGAGAAATACCATCGACATGAACATCTAAAAGTAAAAGAAAAACAAACAACATAAATTTACCAGGATAATATTGATATATTTACAATCAAGCAATGATTCTCTCTCAAAAAGGGTATACTATTGACATTTCTTACCTAACTGATCTAATGCTCTTTTAATTGATCGTCTTGTAACAAACGCATTTGTACGAATACCACTTCTTGTTTCTAATTTTCGAAGTGTTGGTAAAAAATGATTATTTTCTTCTTTTAATGCTTGTTCCAAAATTGTTTTATCGAACGATGGAAATGCTCGTATTAGATATGGTTTAGCATGATTAATATAAGAATCTGACACCTTTCGTTTTATATCAAAAAAAAAGCTAATAGGATCTGCGTATTTAAGTAAAAATTTTGGTATATCATCGATTGTATCACTCCACGAACGTTTTATTTGTGTATGTTTATCTTGTTCTTTACGATTTTTTTTTTTAATATAACCATTATCGAAAAAATATGTAATAATATCATCGAGAGATGGTATTGGATTCATTGCTGTAATTTGACGACGAGCATTATCAACATCAATATCAGGTATTATCATTTCAACTTGAACAATTATCGATTCAATATCAATATCAGGAACACGTAATAGATCAACATCAGTTGGTGGATGTGGCCATGGCGTAGTGATCGTTGTCGATGGAAGACGTGGAGCTTGAGTGGATTTTGTAAGCACCGGCGTAATTAATTTTGGTAGAGGTTGTTGTGTAAAAAGTTGTTGAGAACGAATACTAAATGAGACAAAACCAAAAAGTTAAAAAAGATTCATGATAAAAACGAGAGATGTAAAACTTTACCTGTTAGTTGCATAGTTTGCATTTACTGTGTTATTGTACATTGTAAGATCAATAACATTGTTATTGTCTGTATTAAATCGTGGTAATGGGGGTTGAATTGGATGAAAAAATGGTTGTTGCTGTTGTTGTTGTGGTGGTGGTTGTGCTTTTATTATTGGCATTCGATTGAATGTTGATTGCTGTGGTTGTAGTGGTAGAGTTGGAGGAGTTATAAATGAATTAATTGTATCTTGTGATGGAAGCCATGAACTATTATTACTGTTTGTAGGTTGTATTATAGTATTAGTATTTGGATAATATGGTTGAAATGGAAACGATAATGGTTGTGTCCATGGATAATTTGAAATTTGTGGAGTAGTGAGATGATTATTACTATTATGTGCAGTAGAAGTGGATGAAGTGATATGTGACTGAAATGGTAATATATTTGTATTAAAATATCTGTTATTCGTTAATGCATCAATATTAGTGGAAGAGGTCCATAATGGATCAACTTGAATATTTCTCCAATCGGAAACATCAACATTAATATCACCTTCTTTATGATGTTGTTGATTTGACGTTGAAGATGATACAATTGTTGTTGTTGTTGTTGAAATCGGCGATGGATTTGTATTTAAAAATTTGTATGGATCAAAACTGTTATTGCTGCTAGTAACTGTACTTGATGGTTGAATATCGTCTAATGGAATTAAATCTGGTGAATTATCGATGAATGATAGCGCTGTTGGATCAACGTCGAATACACTCATTTTTATTTTTCGTTCGAATACACCAACAAATGTTCAAAATGTTGTCATGATGTTTTTTTTATTCTAAAAATTAACCACATCTGTTTAATGTACTAGTTCCGTTAAATTGAGGGAAATATGACGTCTTTTTTTTTATTTGTCCCATTATGTGATCAATATCTTGGCTTTTTCTTTATTTTTTCATGTTGTATGTCAGCTTTACACGTTTTAAGGTTTTTTCTTCTCTTCTTTATTCCTTCTTGCGTTTATATATAACAAAATCTATTTTCTTTCAGATTGGGGAAAAAACGAGAGAGAACGAAATTAATAGCGACGTCACCAAGGTAGCTTGGGTGGACTCAGGTTCCTCACTAAATATTTTTGCCCATCCATCTTCCTTAAAACGGATTTCTACTAGAAAATCTTCATTTATTCCGGTTTTTTGTCAAGTAGAATTTTCGAGAAAATTGTTTTATTGCCTTCCCCCCCCAAAAAAAGAAATATTAAACAATACCATTTCATTACTCTTAACGACTATTTCATCCCGTGTATGAGCTCCCACGATTTTTATCGAGACGATTCTCTACATAAATTAGAATAATGTTCAAGTCCTTACAAAAAAAAAGAAACTTCTTTATATGAATAATCAATTAGATTGTACGGTTTGATATAATACGACACCTCTGATATATAAGGCAAGCCTCATTAGACACTATCTTTTTTCATCAAGTTCCTATGAATGTACAAGGTTGCTATATTAAATAGTTTTATTTTCAGTTGAACATCGAAAAAATTTTCTACAAAATAAGTCTATAATAATCATACACGATTAATAAGAAAAAGCAAACGATTTACTCCTATCTCTCTTACTACTTTTATGTTTTTATTTCTAGAAACTGATATGAATTAGATCGTCGTCAACGAAAAAGTATTCTAGCTCAAAAATAGAAGAAAAAAATTCTAATACTGTACTGTTATTATTTCTCGCGTTTACTGTAGGCGTCGTTAATCATTGAATAAATGAATAAAAGGAATATTTCTGCTTGCGCCGTCGCTGCCGCGCCATTTAACCATTTACCAAAAAGTAAAAACGTGCTGTCTCATTGCCTTCTCTCCTTTTTTTCCTCTTGTTCCTTCTTTTGCTGTGTATGTGTGTTTAATAACAAAAATTTGGAGTGCAAACAGGGAAAATAGTGCGCATTCATACGCACAAAGTAAAAAAAAATAAGAAGAAAATAGGGTAGAATATATATTTTGAATATTTAAATCGGGTTCAGGGTTATAAGACTGGCTTTATGTTGTTACCATGATATTTTAGTTAATTGAACTTGATATAATTTGGAAGGTCGATGTGATGTTGTCATCATCTCTTTTCCAATGTTTGTGTTTAATCATAAAAACCTCTATAATCACACACCTACCTGTCATGTCCATTTCATTCGCTCTTTCTATCTTACATTTTGTCGAATACGAACAAATCTCTCTCTCTCTCACTCACTCGTTTTTTTTTTTTATCCATATATGAACTGTCCAGATGATTATTTTTTGTGTAAAAAAAAAAAAAAAATGAAAGAAACGAAGAAACTTGACTGTATAGTCAAAGTGAACGATCGCAGCCAAAAGAAATTTTTTCCTGTATTTATAAAGAGATATATAGATGCATTTTTATTTTTATTTTAAAGAGGCCTCATATCACAGTAGCCTGCTATATTCACTTCTCTGTTCTCTTTCATATGGAGTCTATTTAAAAAAAGACTTATCTCAGAGAAAAGAAAAAAGAACCGATCCCGGCGCGCGCGCAACGATGCAAATCTAGCAGAAATAAATAAACTCTCTAACAAAAAAAAAAAATAGCTAATTGAGTGTAATAGTTTGTATGTTCTAATCGATTGATTCTACTGTGTTTAATCACAATTACATCTCTTTAAATAGGAAAAATTTTAATTATTCAAGCAAAATCTATGAAGAAGAAAAAATTTTTAATTTTTTTTTAAAACTATTTATTTTATCGTTTCTCTCTTTTTTATCAAACGACAGTTAGCTGAGAGGTGATGAATAGCTAGCTGATTTAAATCAAATCGAATGCAATTTTTCTTTAAATGTATATCTTTTAATTCAAAAAATAAATTAAAAATGAGTTGTAGGATTTATTCTAGTGATGACATCCGAGCTTATTTTCATAAAATATGACAAATATAGAAATATTTCTGAAAGCATGAATCAACATTTCAGACCGTGCTGATTGTCGATCCGTGAGAGCCGAACCTACGTTTTTTTTTTTCTGTTTTTTTCTTTTTCGTTCTTTCTGAACCTACATAGAAAAGAAGAAAAAAATTCATCACTTGTAGGAAGAATGGGATAAGAATCACGATAGTGTTTTCAATAGTCTTCTGACATAAAAAATGTCAAGGAAACTTTATCCAGCTAGATAGAAGATGAGAATGACTGAATCATAGAATTTTGCCTAACAAAAAAACAAAAAAAAAAACTTTTGCTATTCATCTGCATGTTGCTCTGTCATGCTATGCTAGACATTTTATTTCATATTAGAAATAACATAACATCGTTTAACAATTAAAATAAAAACTAGATTTCCACAGAGATTTTTTCAATTAAACTAATCGAACGAAAAATAAGACCATATTTTCTTCAATAAGATGTTCTTATAGATTGTACAATTACTAAATATCTAATCTGAATCAGTTTTCATCACAATTAACAATTATTGTTAACAATAACAAACGTTATAGAAACATAGTATTCGTCAATAGAGAAAAATCATAATTTACATATTAAGATCTTGTTTTGAATAAAAAAAAACACCGGAGAGAAATCAATATTTCAACTTCGCCATTTTTTGAATAACGTTTGAAAGAAAGAAGACAAAGACATTCGATTTTTGCCATACAATAGCTAGACCGGAACACGTAGTTCTATGAAAAAAAACTTTTCAAAAATTTCTTCAAAAAGATTAGTTTTGTATGAGATCTTTGGAAAACCAGATTGATGTTTCGAAAGTTCTTATACAAATATTTTTCGTTTTCTTTCATGAATCGATAATTCAAAAGGTCCTCTTCAAAATGGGAACTAAATGAATTCTTAATCTATTAGACGTGACATCAAATTTCCGATGCAAACGGAATGCAGAAATAGTGTTTTTGTTAAATTTCTAACTACTGAATCGTGAATAAATAATTTCTTTTTCATGTTGTATTGATTGCTTAGGAATCATCTATAAGAAGAATTTTCTACATAGAAAAATAAATAAACATGAACGTGTTGATATAAACACTAAGATAATGATTATTTTTACTTCTATATGCTCGAAATCGCATGCATGAACACCAACCTTTTTTCTGCACAGTATAACTATGCATTTGTATTCTAACGATAAATAATTTTCAACTAGTGACATAGAATAAAAACTATCTGCGAGAAGTAAAAATATATGAAAATTATGATATATTCTGCTCTGTTTTGCTATTCAATCAGAGAAATTTATCAATTATCTTCATAATTGACTCTCATACAGTTTGATAACTAACAAAATGGTTGATTGTAAAAGGAGAATATTAAATTTACCTATCTATATATATATATATCTAGAATCACGTGAGGTAACTATAGTCAATATAGCAAAAACGACTTCGATAAACTTAAACGAGTTATTTCAACGGAGAATTTTGACTAAAATTATTGAAAATTATATCATATTGTAGTGAATTTCAAGATCTATCACTTGTATGAATTGCACGTTATTCAGGCTTACTGTTAATTAATTAACTAGCAGTGCCGTGGCTAAGGAAGGGATGCGAGAGTGTATACATCCCTCCTGTTTTTTAGGAAAATCCTTTGTCTTCAACAATCTCTTTTCTCCCAAAAATTTCGTCAGAGCTCTTGCCCAGATTTGGCAACAAATCGAATCAATATTTAACGAAAAACTGCTTTCTCCCACTTTTTCTCCCAAACGATTTGAGGGCAATATCTTTCTCCTACGTTTTCTTCAAAGAGAAAAAAAAGCTCAAATTGATAACGAAGATAATAACCAATATATATATACGTATATAAAAGAAAATTGTGTTTTCTAACTTCTATGACTATCCCCCAAAAAAAATTTTTCTTTTTTTTGTTGCTCTTTTCTCTCGCCGTGGTACTGTTAACCAGCATCTACAAAAAAGTTGTATTTTTTTAAAAAAACACCAATTGAGATTATTATGGTTAGTCCGTGTAATTTGTACGGGAAAACCAAATTTTCAATTCTACCGGCTTATAAAGATCGATTTTACATCATAACCAAGTAGAGGAGCTGTAGAAGAGATTGTTCTTTACCATATGAAGTGAAAAGTAGAACAAGATTGCATGCTTCTAGCGATTTGTAGCTGTGATAGGTTTTGCCGAGTTTTAGCACATTCTCGTATCTAATTTTTGGCAGTCTAATTAAGATGACATCTTTAATACTTCAGTAATTAAAAATGTATTCAATTTTTGATATTCTACAGATGTTTCTCTATCTACTGAGTGTCAGAAAAATTTTAAAACATAGTTTTTTACCCAATTATGCAACATCTAGTTGGCATACACTTCAGATCAACTTTAGGATAGAATAAAAAAACTGAAAGAAATTTATTTAAAAGTCGTTGAGAAATATGTTTGATTGTTTGACTATACAGAATATACATGTGTAAGAACTTCATAAAATATTAGCATTACGCAAACTCTGCAAGCACATCTTATGCATGCTGTACAAGGTAATTGATGAAGTAGCAGATAGGGAACAGATGTAAGAGTTGGAGGTGGTAGAGAACAATCTCTTCTACAACTCCTCTACTTTGTTTTGGTGCAAAACCGATCTTTGTAAGCCGGTGGAATTCAAAATCTGGTTTTCCTGCACAAATTACACGAACTAATCATAATTATCCCAACTGATATTTTTAAAAAAAATACAACTTTTTTGTAGATGCTAGTTAATTAATTGACGGTAAGCCTGAATAATGTGCAATTCATACAGGTGATAGATCTACAATATGATATAATTTTCAGTAATTTGACTCAAAATTCTTCATAGAAATAGGTTGTTTAAGTTTATCGAAGTCGTTTTTGCTATATTGACCATAATTACCCCACGTGACTCTATATTGCGCGGTTTTGTTTCTATAATAGTCAAGCAGTTGTTTTCCTATTCGATGAAGTTGTTGTTGCTGTTTTGGTTTATACATTCATCAAATGAGACAGTTGGAAATGGATATAATTGTCAAAATAAATTATAAGATATTTGATACTGTTGAATTGTGTAGGAGTAAAAGTAGTAGTCAAAAACGTAAATCTTTCTGTATATTTTTTCTGATATAAACTTTCATTCGATCGTTGTCAATGAATTTGTTTGACATATACTAATTGTCTAAACGATGACGGATATCCCACAATAGTAACAAAGTGAGAAAAATTATTGTCTCACTCCAAAACAACGTGTTAAAACATTTATTTATTTTTTCACTTAAAGCAGACATAAATAAACAAATTATATGTGGCATTTTTTTATCGAAAACTAGGGTCAAAGATTAACAGATTATTGTCTAAAGTTACACATTAGTATGAAATCAGACGGTGGGTAGTCTCTCGGATTGCCTGTTCCTTCGCACAACACGCGAATACAGTACCTAAGTTAAGAATCAGATAGAAAGCTTCTAATGAAATATTTGATAAAACGGTTGCAGCGTGTCTCAACAGAACTCTGTATCTGGAAAGACTACATCCTAACTATGACCAAAATTTAAGCCAATTAGTACAAAAGTTGTGACAAATTGGAAAAGACCATAGTTATATTGGTCTCATTTTTATTGCGTTTCCAAGGAGCGCCCACTTTTTAATCAATGAGTAAACAACGGTCCTAATTTGAAATATGGATATATAAAATAATAGTTTATGAGCATAATTAGAAGACGTTAGAGCCGATAATCGGAATAAGTAATATTTTAGCGAAGCAGCCATAATTGACGAATATGGCTTATTTATTCGTTAATTATGGCTGCTTCGCTAAAAGTTTATGGACAAAGGTCAAAATATTTTATTAGTAATATACAACTATGTTAAACAACAAAATTCTACAAAAAAAAGAATTTAATCTTTGTCACTGCTGTCTTTAGTATCGTTCATAACGTCTCTATGCCAATGGGAGAGCTCATAAAACTTTTTTGATTTGACTGTACAGACGTATACTGAAAATCCATTATGATTTTCACATTTTAACCGATATAAGTAATTTATTATACAAAATTGCTTTTTCACGTTTTTGAGTTTTTGACCAAGTAATATTTTTATTCATAGTTTTAAATATAGTGTGACTTTCTTCCTCATATTTCTGTATTTATGAGTGTCTGATACAACTGTATTATGACTTATCAAGCAGGGATTATTGACACGACTCATAATTAAATTTGGAATGAACGTTTTACTGATTATCAATCAATCATTTTGTTCTAGGAGTTGATTTGGCTACTTCTTAATTGAAACCACTATTTTTCACCCTCACTCTCACTTAGTTTGCCGCTCTCTAATGTTTGTTTGATGTTAATTAAGACTTCCTAATTCAGACCACTTTTTTCATAAAATGTGGCTTCAATTTGAAAGACTCCGTTGGTTCTTACTCTGACCTTTGTCCATAAACTATTCTTTTATACATCTATCTTTCGAATTAGGACCGTTGATTACTCATTAATTAAAAAGTGGTCGATTTTAATTATATGGTCGTTTTTATTTATATTTTTACCGTCCGGCTTTAGACCAAGACAAACTACCACAATTTCATCTGATAGAAGATATTATAGATGTTGATAGATATCTGTTTCAATGGAACATGTCAAGTAAATAAGTGTGTTAGCGAGTAAGATGAGATGAGAGGGGCGGTTTAAAGCTAAACGTAAAACAAAATTTTCACCAAGAGTGATCGAGCAACATTATTTTGGCGGCTTCTGTTCTGGAAAAGGCATAAGCGAGGAGAAGTAGATACCACCTTCGTGCTATCATATAATGCATGTAATATTTGCAATGATGACGGAAGTATTTGTTTAACGAAATCTTCTTTTGTGTGTCTGTCGGATGAAAGTATTAACGCAAAGACAAGAGATTGTTTACAAGATAATTAGAAATTCAGTAGTTTTTCTTTAAGATTACCGACTTATTTTATTCATATCACATAGATCAATTTTAATTACGATTAAAGTTTTGAAAGGATAAAGAAATTACATTGTTAAGCATTCAAAGTGACGTTCTTGACAATGAGTTGCATATATCTCGAGCTAGTCTCATTGGTTTAAAACACGTGCCAGACTTTTTTAAGAAGATTATGAATATTATAAAATCTATTCTCCTATCGATTAATCTTAAAAAGTGAACACACTATTTGTTTATATTAGAAAGCCCATTAATGTCATAACTATCAACGAACTTAGTTAGTATTGACCCTACAAAATATTTGTAGAACCTGCGAGAATGGCATTGTGGAACATAGAGTGAAATCAGTATGATTGTTGCTGTCTGTTATTTACACTTTTCTGCCTGGCTCTTATTCTGTTTTAGAGAGTTCTACAATATACACTTCTGATATAAAACGATTCATCTTACTATAAAATCAATTTATGTGAACTTTCTCAATAAACTAGTCACAAGTACGTCCTATGACAAAATATTTCTTATTAAGGTACATAATGATAAAACCAATTTTTTTCCTAGCTAACATATATTGTATATAACTTATTAAGCTTTCATGAAACGAGTATAGTAGAGAAATTACTATTGTGTTCACTTTGAATAGTATAGAAATAGTACAAAGTCTTGGCTATAATGAGGTCAATTTGACTAATTTTAGTTATATTATTATTCTGTTTTATCGAGTACTTTTTTTTCTATCAACATATTGAACAATATTTTATCTATCATTCTGTTCCTGTCTTTCTTCCTGACCGATTGTTAATCAAATAAATTAAAAATAGAAAAGAGATAAGACACGATTCAATGTCTCGACATATATCTATCTATCTATTTGTGATGCGTCTATACTGTTCAGTGTTCGCGCATATGCAAATGTGCAACTGACCCTACTCTTTCAAGGCTAAATTGACCTTTTGTTTTTTTCTGATATATGGAAAAAAGAAAACTGTAGAAAAAGTTAATCAGTTGAACAAATTTGTGTGCATGTGTGTGTGTGTGAGAGAGAGAGAGAGAGAGAAAGAGAGAGTGCAAATCAACAATTGTTTCTTCACTTTTTACTCCACTGTTGCTCCTGGCATGAAGTTTTTTCTCGTATATATCACTGTTGTAATTTTATATGCGTTTGTCGCTGCTCAAACTGTATTTTTAAATGGTACCGATAATTTTACAACTGCTAATGTTGATTTATCAACAAGAGCGACATCAGCTATAATCATTTCCACAATATTAAATATATCAGAGACGTCGAACAACAAAACTTCAGCAATAGAATTCAATGACATACAACATGATATTTTGATATCGACAACTAATAGCTATAAAATATCGAATACTTCAATTGACGATGAGAATGAAACTAATTTTTTTACTGTTCATACAACCGTTTTAAATGATAAGAGTGAAAAAAATAGTAAGTAACATTTAAAATAATCTACTAAAGAGATTTGTATGATACTGGGGTAAAACAATAACTTCAATGTAAAGGAACAAGTATAATCTTGCTTTCCTACTAATTACAAAGACTTGTTCAAAGTACTTTTTGTAATTACTGAATGATTCTTTCATAGTTTAAAGTGTGATCATCTGTATCATCTTAAGTTCCATTAAACGATGAATAGTAACTATTATTTTGTCCATTTTTCTTATAGTTACCGTACCATGTGAACAAGCACAATATGGATGTTGCCCAGATCAGTTGACAGCAGCTCANAGGAACAAGTATAATCTTGCTTTCCTACTAATTACAAAGACTTGTTCAAAGTACTTTTTGTAATTACTGAATGATTCTTTCATAGTTTAAAGTGTGATCATCTGTATCATCTTAAGTTCCATTAAACGATGAATAGTAACTATTATTTTGTCCATTTTTCTTATAGTTACCGTACCATGTGAACAAGCACAATATGGATGTTGCCCAGATCAGTTGACAGCAGCTCAGGGTGCTGATCAACAAGGATGTATACTGAATTCTTTTACACCAAAATATATATTTACTACTACCGATATTAAGCTAAATTCCACTGTTCCTAGCCATAACAATTCAGGGTTATTTATCGCAGATGATAAAAAAATCACAGAACTATCAGAACAGGCATGTGTACACTCTCTCTACGGATGTTGTCTAGATGGTGTTACAAAAAGAGATGGTAAATCGTCAACTATACAAGATAATATACAATCTTAACCATTTTCTATTGATTAGGTCCAAATGACGAAGGATGTGATCAAGTTAAATCAACTGAACGACCGGTACAACCGAATATGACAAAACAAAATGAGAAGGTTAAACACGTTGCTTATTTTATCAGTTTTAACCAGAAAAATCATTCGATATTTTAGATATCTGTTGATTTTAACCCATCCACTACATCAATTATAAATATTGCTTTGGATAGTACAACTGTTTTATCTACACAAGAAATATACCAAAAGAATGAGACATCTCTGAATACGACAACCAATTTTAATTTTCAAACAGAATCTACTGATAGTGATGATGATACCACAACTCAAGTTGTTCAATTGTGTGACTCGACACAGTTTGAATGTTGTCCTGATGGAATTATACCAGCTCTGGTAAACAACTCGTTATATATTTCACTATTTTCTGTTCTTAACGAACAAATTTTGCTTTTAGGGACCAAAATTTGAAGGATGTAATGAAACTCAAGTAATGTACGTTTTAAACGTCAAAGAGCCAAAAATCAACTTGAAAAGTGAATACTCAGTAATTGAAAGGTAAACTAATGATATATATATACATTAAACGTTCGTTTTAGCTGTTTGCGAACTGGAAAAAGATACAGGCACATGCAGCAAATATATATCCAAATGGTATTTTGATCGTCTTCAAGGGAAATGTATTCGATTTTGGTATGGTAGCTGTGAGGGAAACTTAAATCGTTTTGATACAGAAGAAGAATGTCTCTCAACATGTGTTCATCCAAAAGGAATTGGTATTTACTACTCAACTTAATCTATAAACGGTTCAACCTGTTAATTGTCTTTTTTGTTTTGTAGAAGTTTGTCTATTACCAAAAGTTGTTGGTCCATGCCAATCGGGTTTATCACGTTGGTATCATGATCGAGATAGAAAAGTTTGTCGACAATTTACATATGGAGGTAACACAATTTTTATGCTTATTTACTCAGCAATTAATTCATCTGTTTTTTTCTTTTTGTTAGGATGCAACGGAAATGAGAACAATTTTCTTTCCGAAGATAAATGTCATAAAGCTTGTAATTCATCAGTAGTTATTGGTAAGATAAATATTATCAGTTATACGCATATTATATAAAAACTAATAAAAGTTAATTTTAGAACAATGTGCATTACCATCTTACAAAGGACCATGTAATGGGGAATTCAATCGATATTATTATGATACAACCTATGGAGAATGTCGATCATTCATTTATGGTGGTTGTATGAAAAATATAAATAATTTTCAAACCTACGAAGAATGTATAACAACATGTGTTGCTCCAAGACAAAAAAGTACACATATTCTATGAAAAAATAACATTTATTAATTCTTAAAAATTTATTTTTGATTATTTTATAGATATATGTTTATTAGCTAAAATGACTGGAACATGTCAGGAACGTTATTCAGCATGGTATTTTGATATACTAGATGCAGAATGTAAACCATTTCAGTATTCTGGTAAGTAATAAAATTTGTTCACTTACATTCGTGTTTCAATATATTTGTCTTCTCTAATGAATAATATATATCTAGAAATAATAAAAAATAAATAAATTTTAGGATGCAAAGGTAATTATAATCGATTTACATCGAAAGAAGAATGTGATACGTCCTGTTTAACACTCAAATCGCCGAGAACAAGCAAGTGACAAACAGAAATAAAAATTCATTTGTCTATCAAATATCATTTCTTTTTGCCAATTTTAGATAAAACTGCAGAAATTCTAGGTATATGTCATCAACCAATGACACGAGGAAGTTGTGATCAACAAATAACAAGATGGTATTATAATTCGCGTGATCAATACTGTTATCCATTTCAATATACAGGATGTCATGGAAATTCAAACCAATTTGAAACAGAAAACGAATGTAGAAATTTTTGTAATGCTAAAGAAAAGGGTGAGTTGATTAGTTAACATTTAACAGAACTAAACTAAACTGATGATTTTTTGTTTTCTTGAAGATATTTGTACAATTGAAAAAGATCCGGGTCCATGTGATCAATACAGAATAATGTGGTATTATGATCAACAAGAAAAAAAATGTAAAAATTTTTATTATGGTTCCTGTGGTGGTTCATCAAATCGATTTTCAACGGAACAAGAGTGTCAATTACGATGTGTATTAAAACTAAATGAAAGCTCAGGTAAAATGTGAATTAGAAACTAATGATGTGAAATCTTTTATTTTAATTCAATTATCTTTGTTTTAGTCAATAGTGTCTGTGTACAACCGTTAGATCAAGGTTATACTTGCAATATTTCTTCTACTTCAACAACAACAGCATCGCCTGTATCAAAATATTATTTTGAACCATTACAACAAAAATGTATTTCTTTCTTATTTCACGGTTGTGGTGGCAATGAAAACAGATTTGACAGTGAACAAGAGTGTAAAGAAAATTGTTCAAGCAGTATGCCAAAATTGATCAAAGAAAGTGTCCATACGACTGGGGAAGGTAACTAATATCTTTAGCTTAATCAGACAGATTATTCTTGATAAAGAGTGTAGACTTCAGTGCTGAAACTTATACAATTCATATCTATTTACTTTAAATTTGTTCTTCTTCTAGTATTAGATGTGTGTGATGAACCAAAAGTAATTGGTACATGTTCAAATACTACAAAACGATGGTATTATGATGATACTGTGGGTTATTGTGTTGAATTTGATTATTCTGGCTGTGATGGAAATCGCAATAATTTTCCCGATCGAATGGTATGCATTGATGCATGTGAAAAACAAAAACGACATGCAATATGTCATCAAACAAAAGTAGTTGGTCCTTGTCAAGAACATATGATACGTTGGTTTTTTGATAGTGAAACAAAAACTTGTCAAACATTTACATTTGGCGGATGTTTAGGTATACTATTCACAGATAATTTGTGATTTGCTATATAAAATCTCACTTTCTTCTTTTTCTCTATAGGCAATAGAAATAATTTTGAAAATTTTGATAAATGTCGATATATGTGTTGGACATATTTAAGTGATGAAGGAAGATCTCAAACACGACAAAGCGCTGTTGTAGCTAATCCACAAAGTGGAAAAGGTAAACAAAGGGAGAAATATATCTCGAGCAATCTTTCTACAGAACAAGGCACGAATAAACATCGTACATTAAATTTCATTCTCAATATTACAATTCAAGTTTAGGTGTCTGCAAGTATCCATCTGATATTAATGTAATTTATCTATTGAGCGATTTGGGTATTTAAAAAAAATTAAAAAATACTTATATGTAGAATTTTTCTATAACAATGAAGCGATTACTAATTAATTCTGCAGGGTACAAAGAGAATCGAAATTATTCTGTAATAAGAGAAAATTATGAGAAAAATATATTCACAAACAGAAATAATTGAGGTTAATGATCCATTCGTCTGTTATGTATTGCCAAAAAGATGCTTCAGAACATTTCAAAAATTAATCTGTTCTCTTTCACTTTTGAAAAGCGTCGCTGAAAGACGAGCCTAGAAATATTTATTCATTTTTTCTAGATATATTGATAACTGGGATAAACTGATTAGATCATCCTATGAGTAGTTCATCCTAATTTTGAGCTGATTGAAGAAATTCAATTTACTACCGTCTAAATTTTCAAATATTACGAACATTGTCACGTGAATGCACTAAAATCCTCCTGGAAAAAACTATCTAATTTTACTATTTTCTCTGCATAGTTGTATTATCAACATCGTAATCAGTTCTCAACAGTTGCTAAATGTCAAAATAGTTGTCAAATATATTTATTTTGAAATAATATCGTTTGTACAAAACAATAAGTGTCATTTTTCAGACCGTTAAGTTGCATATTTTAGACAATTATAAAATCTCTTAACTATTTTAACTCCTGTCATCTAACTTACGTGTGTTATTATCACACAAGTAGACACGTGGTTGTTTATCATTTTTCTTAGTGATGATCTCAGGATCTTTTTGCGAGAAGTACAAAACTTTTTTTTCAAATGTTTCATCGTAAAAAAGCGGGACGAGTAAAAGTTTTTTGATAAATCTTCTGAGAAAATTTAGGCAAAAATATTTAGTGAGGAAGCTAAGTACTCCAAAGGTGTCGATATCATTGATTTTTCTACACAGATTCTGACACTAATGAAAATCATCACCTGATGGAACCATTAACTGATTCCCAAAAAAGCCTTACATTTAATTTCGAGCTGTTTCTTTTCAACAATAAAGAAAATACTACATGGATTTGTCTGTTTATAAATCTGATGTTGCAACAGTCATAGAAAAATAATAATTCTGACGTATTCAATCTAATACATAACTTCATTTTTGTCTAGCTTGTACAAATCTAGAATACTGCAATATTCCATGTCGATACGGTTTTGATAAAGATACATATGGTTGTGATATATGTAAATGCATCGATCCGTGTCAAGTAAGAGAAATACAATTTTAATTCTCATACTAAAGTCTTAAAACATCATAAGAAAAAATCAAAATTTTTCAAATTTCAGAAACAGAGATGCCCACTTGGTTATGAATGTCTTATATTGGATCAAGAACAATGTATTACGCCGCGATGTGCAATGCCTAAAATTGAATGTCGTCCAGGTAGAAAATCTTAATACTATTGTAATATAGTTTAAATATACTATTAAATTTTATTTTCTAGTGCAACGCACTGATGGATCGAGTGGTATGTACACAAACTATTCTACTCAACTAAACTAATAAAAAAATCTTACTCTTCTAGACATTAAACCAGTACTTGAAAATGATGGTATAACAAATGTCTATGCGCAATTTGAAGAAAATGTAACCTTGCCATGTAGTGTAATACAAGGCGATCCTGTACCCGTGATATATTGGTATAAAGAACGTAATCAACTACAAGTACACGAATTGACAAGTGGTTCAATAACAAGAAAACTTGAACGTTTACCGAATCAATCGTTGTTAATAAGAAAAGTAGCATTGGGTAAATTATTTAGTATCTTGCTTTAGATTCACATGGCTAACAGGAGAAAAAATTATGTTATTTTAGAAGATCAAGGTTTATACACATGTCGAGCTATCAACACTGTCGGACAAGATATTAAAGATATTCAATTAGATGTCTACGGTATGTTGAACAAATATTTTCAACTATATTATTCTCTAAACTATACTAGTGGATAGAAGATGAGGGGAACATATGATCATTGTAGTATTTTCAGTCTCTATTAATGTAACCGAAGTACAATATCATATTTCAGTAAAGATTCATCGACAGCAATTACTTCTGTTTCACTTTTTTGTACGTACTCAGTTCTTCCTATTACACTAAAAGTGTTGGATCAAAATGATTAACGAGTCGTCATCATTTATGTCGAGATTATTATCGAGTGGTATTTCTAAACGGCGCGAACAGCTACGAACACCCCCAAATTACAATCTGAGTTAGCCAATCGATAGAGCTCGTCGAACTAAGTATTGAAACGCCTAACGAACACCCAAAAAAGTTTTTATAGTTTCGGCTTTTAAGCATATATTTTCAATGAACACTCACGAACACCCAGAAGAAAGGGTAAGAACATCCAAAAAAGTATGCCAAATTCATCTTCAGGTTGTTCTGAGCCTACCAGTACCTCACCCTCACCTTCAGCCTACCCGTGCTGTTCTTACCCTTTCGTCTGAGTGTTCATTGAAAATATATGCTTAAAAAGCGAAACTATAAAAACTTTTTGAGTGTTCGTTAGGCGTTACTATACTCAGTTCGACGAGCTCTATCGATTGACTAACTCAGATGTTAATCTGGGGTGTTCGTGGCTGTTCGCATCTTTTAGAAATACCCATTATCGAGTGACCCGTCGATGATGGAATTATTTATGTTTGTCACATAATTTAAAAAACAACAAAAAATAATTAATGACATTCTGTCACATAGATTCTATGTCCATTACAGATTGATTGATATTTTTCTGCTAACATTTGTTTACATTTATTACATTATCATTATTTTCTATTTCTTCATACAGATGTGGTATACTATACTCTGTGAAAATATATAGTAGAGTATGAAAGACTACGCTATACATTACTTCCTCTCTGCACTTGTCAAACACATGAACTAACACTTTTTGTTTGTGATTAATGTCCTCTATTGCCACCATATATTTTCTTTTCAACTAGTTCTCATTTAATTTAGATCCTATTAAAATTGATATTTATCCAATTAATCGAAGTTATCAAATCGGGTACACAGCTAAATTACAATGTCGTGCCACAGGCAAGTCATCTTCTTCTACATTGTTTTCTCTGATGTACTTATAATCTATTACTTTTCGTCAAACAGGCTTTCCAATGCCACGCATTATGTGGTTACGAAATAATGAGCTACTAACAAATTCAACGCGTATGACAGTTTTAGCTGATGGAACATTAATTATTCATCCATATCAGATAGTCGATTCTGGTATGAAACAAGATGATAAACTATGAAAAATACCTTTCGTTAGTCAATATTTCGATTTTTTTAGGACCATACGTTTGTAATGCAATCAATAAGAAAGAAACAATCACCCAAGTCGCCTATTTAGAAGTTAAAGGTAATAAAAAAAAATGAGATTTCAAAAAACACAAAATTATTTTTCGCTTAAAGATAAACAAACAGCAATATGTCTTCTATCAGGAGACAACAAGAGAAATGTTAAAAAGCATTAGAAAAGGATGTATGTGCAATCAACCTTTAGCACTACTCTGGTGACTAGCTCTATAATGGAGCGCGAATCTTCGCTCTCTATTTTTATGATATAACATTCATATTGTACTATATTTCAAATCTATTCCAATCATTAGACGTATCTTTGACTATGATCAAGTTTTCGATTACATATAAATCATCTGCTCTTATTGGACTTTCAGTTAATAAAAAATATGTAAACTTTTTCTGTCATAGTAACACAAATATCATCTCAAACTTTAAAAATTTCTCTATCATACACAAACAAAAACAAAAATGAAGAGGATTTATAATGTCAAATAATTACTTTAATTTTTAGAAACACGTCAAGAAAAAACATGTGAAGATCAACCAGCTTATGCCAATTGTGAACTGGTCTTACGACATAATTTTTGTGATGTTTATTTTGACTACTGTTGTTTTACATGTTCTCAAGCTGCTTCTGAATCAAATCTTCAACAATCATCATCATCTCCGCCTTTACCTCAACCTATGGTTCAGAAACGTCATCTTAAAAGTTAAGAATGTTTTAAATATAGAACTGTAACATAAACAATCTCAATTAGTTGCATTTTTTCCAAGATAAAAACAAAATGTTTTTATTTGTTTGTGCATCTCGTTTTTTTTTCTCATTTTCTTACAATAAAATTTTGTATGTATGTATTAGAAACTGTGTTTCTTTAGAATGAAAGAAGAAAATAAAATTCTGGTTTACTTTGTTTTTGTTTTTGAGAAAACAATGAAATATATGAGCACAAAATAAGCAATGAACGCAAAATAAAAGGATAAAAAAAATAAAAAGTAAAACGATACATTGTATTTTGTCAGGTGGTTTAACTTTTTTCTTTTAACATTGAAAAAGAAAAAAACAGAAAAGATGAGTTTAGAGAAGAATAGACATTCTGTACGAATGAAAATAGTTTTTTGTATAAAAAAAAGATTGTCGAATCGTCGAACGATATATGGCCCATGCTGCCATTTGTTATTATTATCGTGTTTTTTAAAGTACTGATGTATAATACCAAAATAAAACACTATATATAGAATTAACTATCCGATTCTTCAATTTGTTCAAGATAACATGTTTCACTGTTTCCCGGTATGACATCTTTAATTAGTCGATCACCAATTTTATTATATTGATATCTTTGACGTGGATAACCCCATAGTAATTCAAAATGCTCTGGTACATGATTATTTGTCCAAGCAACTTCAAATAAAAGCTTAGCTGGATCATTACGACGAAAACGTCTTCTAATTGGTTCATTATCAGGTAAACGTATAGATACTTGAATTGTATCACTCTCACTTGGTAATGGTTCAACGGGTAAATTTGCCTTTAAATTATCACGAAATTCAATAAATTTCTATCAAAAGAAAAAATAACTTTTTATTCACATAACAACATAGTCAAAAACAATAAAATATGATTACTTGTAATTTTTTTTGTCGTTCATCTTCAATACGTCGTTCTTCTTCTTCAACTTTTTGACGTAAACTTTGTTCTAATTGTTTTTGTTTTTGCTTAAATAGCGAAAGATTATATTTAAAAAAAACACATCAAGTTTTTGTGTACCTACATCTTGATACATACTTTTTCTTGATCAACTCTAACAGATTCAAGATAAGCAGCATTTTGTTCTTCTAACAGACGATCTCTCTGACCCCTTTGATTTTGCATATTTCTTTTTAAAACAAAAAATGAAACATGTATATATAAAAATATGATGTTGTATTTCTCTCTCTCTCTCTACCTGTTATGCTGTAATACATGTTCAGCATTCTGTACACCATCAAACACTGCTGCTATACACTCATCAGCGCCTAAAACAGATTAATTTAAAATTTGATCAGAATCTAAACTTTTATAATGACAAAAAAATTGTAACTTACCATTATATCTTTGAAGTTTCAATTGGACAGTTTGTTGAGATCCATGATGTGCGATTATGCATAAACAGGGATGTGCAGTACAATGAAGAATTCGACTTGCTAAAGAAAATTATTAAATAAATGAGTATTTGATATTTATTCTTTAAACAATATTTACTGCTTTACCTATGCGTCCTTCTTGTGTATCAGAGCTAGCACTCCAAAGCAGATTATTACCAATTATAGTTTGAATTGTATCCTCACACAACACCTCTCTTAAAGAAGAAGAGTAGAATATTTCTAAGTGAAATGAACCATAAATGTTCTTACCTGCAAAACCTGTCACATAGTGGTGAATTTTTTTCGTGAAGATATACGAACAATAGACGAACTTCTTTTTTAGCATCTTGTAGAGCCTGCAAATAAATCAGAATAGATAAAAATAAATATAAACCAAAAAAGAGATTTATTTTTGTGTCCATCACGATGTTTTCAATTTACCTGAGAAAATTTTCCGCGATAAAACACTGGGTGCCTCGAATCATACTGGTTGTCAAAATATGTGTAATAATCCTGAAGTTCTTGTACTGGATCTACAGAATAATGAAGAAATCTGAAATTATCGTTCAACAAAACAACATTAAAATAACAAACCTCTTTCTGCCCAAAACAATGATTGAACTGAAAAAATGAAAGTAATTTAATAAAAGAACTAGAAAACAAATATTTGGAAAAACGTATTTACCAAAAGAACACACTAAACGAATAACTGTCCAGGGAAAAAATGACTGAACTTTAATGAAAGTTGCATATAAAAATTGTAATGGTGTACGCAAAATTTGTCTAAATAAGAGAAAATATAATAAAGATTTGTTTAATTATTGATAGATTATTCGTTTTAATACAGGTATTTGTCATTTAAAATAAAGAATGTATAGAGGTTTTCTTTAAGTAGGAAAGCTTCATACTAAGTGCTTCTAGTTTTTTACTAAAGACTTTGCACACAAAGTTTCAAACATCATGTAATTAAAAAGAATTTAAATGAAGAATTAATTGACTAGAAAATAAGGCTGAAAGAGTCTTACAACAATGAATGTGGCATGTATCGAGCAATAATAGATTCATTCGGGGTGTGGCGTCGATTTAATGCATTATCTGATGTTGTGGATGATTGATGTTGTGATGGCGGTGGTGGCGGTGGAGGCCGTCGTTGAACAGTAGATCCCAAAAGAAAGGGTGGGAGAGGGGGGGCAGAAGGAATCAATTCATCATGTGAACCTAGAGATGGTTCTTCAGATTCGGTAATCAACGATTCTGTTTCACTGATTAGTGCTGTTTCAATAGCTCGCTAGATAATAACAAATAATCAGATGCAGACATTAATTTTGACATAAGAAAATCTTACTTCAACATCCCAAGAATGATTTTCTAAAAATTGACGACACGTTTCAATTGAATTAATATGTGTAAACTCCTACACAAACAAAAGAAAGATGATTTGACAAATAAAATTCAGAAGTAGATATATAAATAAAACTCATACTTGAAAATGAGATAATGCATTCTGTTGATCTTCATTTAATTGTTCCATTTCTTTTTATTGATCTAAAGTACAACAGATTACATTATTAAATCAAAAATCATAACGTAAACATACAATTTCTAAAAGAGATGTGACAAATTATTAAGACGATTTGATGACAATAATAGTCAAAAATCCTACAGTTCTCTTTCTAGAAGATATAAGCGAACCCTTTCCAGCCGGCTATTTTCTAAAACACAGCAAAAAGTATTGCCAAATGGCAAGCTCAAGCAGGAAAGGATTAACGTAATTGCAATATTTTCTATATTTTTCTAATGTGTAGATTCCATACGTTTAAACTTTCTTGGTGTACTAAGTCGTTCACATTCATGTAGTTCGGGCTAAATAGGAAGATATTTAAACAGATAAAAGTGCTAAAAATGTCGACAGAAAAGGCCAATAAGCATAGACGACTCTGGAAAAAAAGGCAAGTAATTTTATCAGAGATTGTGCAAAAGCTAATTAAATAAATAAAAGAACGTATGCCAATAAAATTAAGAGACGTATATGTCTACTATTAATATATTAATATAGCAATATTATATACAGATGTATTGGTTCCCAATATTCACCAATCAAATCTGAACTGTCATAAATAAAATGGAATAATAGAATCAATTTATAGTGAGATAGATATAATGTAGGAGGACTGCCATCTGGTTTAATCAACAAATTTTGATAATCAATTAGAAGATCGTTTGAAAGATTTATTACATCCTGTTGACTGGGCGTACTCAGTTTTCAATCGTACAAGTTGAAAGAAGAAAATGAGTCATTCCTTTCTTCTTTAAGATGTGATTCATAATGCTTCTTTCTTTATTTTTTCCTTCTTTGTTTATTCACAGTTTAGCTTGATTCTAAAGTTTAATCGTAATTGTAATCATTGCTTCAAAGTTCTATTTACTTTTCAAAGTTCAAGGCATCCAGGTTTGACGAAATCTTGAAAGAAGTAAATAACCTAACCCTGAAAACAAATAATTACTCCAATAATTTTTCTCAGTGATATATCCTTTCTGTAAAAATTTCTTTTTTACTTTACGAATAAATTATCATCTGAATTTCCATTCTGTGTGAGGCGACCTAAAAGGTAACATATTTCTTTAACCTCTCACTATGAATAGTCAGATTTGTTGAAAAGAGTGAGTGCAATTTGAGATTGATGCCTATCTCTTGTCAAGTAAGAAGCAGTCTCTCTTCTTCTATAGGTGTTAATCTTTAATCTTTGTTCAAAATGATATCTGTTATCTAATAAACATCTCTTTGTTATAGAAAATAATTCAAAGTCGTTTATTTTTTAGATATTTCAGTTGAAAGTCGTCCAATATTTTTCCATACATTCGGAATACAATTATGCTCAAGTTTGTCGTTTGAATGTACAAAATGCCTTCCAATATGAACAGTTAGTATTTTTTAAAAAAAGAAGACCTAACTTTTTTCATTGATCGTTGTATGATTGTTGTTTGCGAATACCCTATAGATGTGCATAAAACAACTTGTTTTCTCCTTCTCGTAGAGGAAATGTCAAGAGTTGAGTCGCAAATTCTGATAAAATTTTCAGTCTATATTTAGGTTTTATATTTGAGCAGATCACATTTCTTACGAATGTAATAACTGTTGGTCAAAGACGCTTTAGATTCTCTTAACAGTGCTGTTTATAACTAATGAACTCGCTCCTGATCTCAGGTAAGCTGTAAAATGCAACAGTCCGCATGAGAGAACTTCGAAAAACTGTAGTTTTAGATGAATGTTTCTGGGCCATAGGAACATAGTTGGTAGTGATTTATGAGGCCCCTTACTCAGATACAACAACTTTCTTTAAAACTAAAACGTTGCATTATATATATATATATATATCGACGAATAGTTGAAGTATTCACTTTCAAAAGTGATATCGTTTTTTAGCCTTATCTACATTTTTGCATGCTGGAAAGGGATTTTGTCAGAGATCTTTCTTGCTGTTAATAAGATAAAGTCTTTACGTTCAACTTCGCATTTTCTAAAAAGACTAACAGCTGACTTTTTCGTTGGCAATGTTGATGCTACTGTGGTTTCGTAAAATACTATTTTCTCAGTAAATAAATGTTCAACATGTAATAAAATTATTCTTTGCATGATCTAAAAGAAGCTCTATGAAAATAATCGAAACAGATTTTTAGAAGTCACTTTTATTTAAGAGAAACTCACTCATTTTCGATTGAGAAATGCAGTCGTTTTTAAAATTGTAACGTGTGACACTTGTTTTGAGACATAAGTTGAGATGTTGAGAGATAAGTTTCAAAAAATTAACATCAACTCCTAGTGAAATGTACATGCTCAAGTACCCTTGAAAGTTTTGTTCAACATTTCTGAGATTGTTCGCAAGTAAATCAAGTACTTGAATTACTTTATCTTCTTATCAAGTAGTTGATCAAACATTCGTTCAAGTAAGCCGTGAGTACCTGTGAGAGATTCAACAAGGAAATCAAGTGATTAGAAAATGCTTTTCAAATACTTGGACAAGTAATTGCTAAATAACATTTTGTAAAGATACTTACCAAGTGCTTGTGAAGTACTCACAGAAAGACGACTATAAGTTTCAGTGTAATTTTCACCCAAAACCGGATATGTACGCGCTTGTAGAGGAAGACTTGGTCTATCCAGTGGTGTATATATTGTCGAATCCTAATGTGCACTGTCAGACAAAATTAAAGGTAATCCCCCCTTTTTCTTTTAGCTTTTTTTAAAACAATTTTAAATTTGAGTTAAATATTGTGTATAGAGTAAAGTGTCCTCTACAAAATAAAACCACTTTCAGCTCTCCAAGGTCTTCCATTGAGGACATACGAATCTTTAAAGTTTCTTACTTTACGCTTTAAAAACCCTATTTTTTTACTTTCGAAACTTTTTTCTCCTCCATTCAGTACTTGATAAACTTGTAAAACAGTCTTATAGAGTAAAGATTTCTTTACAAAATGAGATGTCTCCCAGCTCTCCACCATGTTTTCTGATCGAGTTATGATCATTTTACTGGAAGCTTTTAACAAAGCTACATTTGTGATATAACACCTCTACAAGTTCGTACACATCCCGTTTTGGGGTCAAAAGCCTATAGTCGCCTTTAGGAGCAAATAACTACGCACTCACAGTTACATCCTCTAAGAATAACTATTCTTTAACTCATTCAATTTGTGTCATTTAAAGTCAATCCGGTCATGCTAGTTATATTCGATTATGCAAAAAACCTTTTTAATATGGGATAAGAAGGCCACTTTCTGGTTTTTAGCAATGCAAATTTCGTTGATTCTATTTTTGAACAAAAAGAAAATGAAATGTTATGTCCTATTTTCATATATTTCGGATAAGTTACGATTATCAAGACATTCACATTTAGGACACTTTCTGTACTGTAGAAAAGTGGACATTTCGATACTTGTTGCTTGTCCGAAATCACATATTCTCATTGTAGTCTTTAATTTCTAGAAGTTTCGTTTCGTCTAAACACACCATTCAAAAAAAAATAGTGCTCTGAGTAGATAACTGTGCTTAAAGGAGCAGAAGGCTTCGATTTTTAGAAAACAGCTTCTGCTATAGTCTTAACGTTCTAGATTGATCAGTTATATAAAAGAGTCTGCATAGGAATTCTACATCTTATTCTACAATAATAATTTTCGTAGTATTTCATAAGAACATACAGGATCATCGCACAATTTTCCGACTTGGAATACTGTACTGTAGAAGAAAAAAAAATTAACATAGAACTTTTTGTAAGGCGCTCCAAATTCGAAGTTAAGCACTATTTTATTTTTGGCTTAATCAGGAAAAATTGATCGGAGAAAATTGAGAATTATGAGCAGAATTCTGACGTTTTTTGCCTCTGATTGCGAACAAATATGCGTATAAAACTTGGCTTTATGTGTTAAGCCAAAAAGCTGCGATAGATTTGCAAGATGAGGGTCTCGAAATCGAAGATATGTCGGTCCCGTTTCGCGCCCAAAAAAAATTTTTTGGTGTGCAACCTTAAAATACAGCTTTCTAGATGCAGTTTCCAATGCTGGATAAGAAAAACATAGTTTCACGACTTCGAAGTGAGGTGGAACCAAGTTATTCAGTTTTTCAAAAAAGTTAGTGATTTTTCAAAAAAAGAGATCTTTCAACTTTTTTGAGCTTTTTTCACTGATAATGTGCACTGGGTAGGCTAAAAATCAGATATTCTCGATCACCGTGAAATTCTCTATCGAATGATGTATGATTAAACCAAAAATAAAATAGTATTATAACTTCGAATTTGCAGCACCTTATTCACTATGGTTCATCATGGTATCAATGTCAATGGCCATTCTTTAGAAAAAAATTATATTTCATATCTTCGTTTTATCTTTTCACATTGTATATTATGGTCTCTTGTTGAATTTATCTAGATGTATTTCATATTAAATGTTCTATATTGTATATATAAACAAGAATTATTTTATATTTTTTATCTGATCATCTAATTGACATTGATCAGTGGCCGAAAAACTATATTGTCTTGTCTAGTAGAAAAAGAAAATGAGTGGTGATTAATATTAAAGTATGTACATATAGAGAATGAATAATTGCTTTTTCTTTCTCATCATTTTCTAATGAAATATATACAAACATATTCATAATTATGCTTCATCTCTTGAAAATGGAAATTAAAAAGAAGAGAAAAAGAAAATGTATAACTAAATTTTCCTTTTTTGCATGATGATTTTATTCATTGATAGATACAGGTTTTGGCCCCGAATAACGCATTTGTTCTGTTTTATGAATATGTGCAAAATAATATAAATTTGCTTTTTTTCATCTCATGAGCGATTGAACATTACCCTATTGTCTTTTTACTTTTTTTATTGACAAAAAGAAAATTGTCTTCGTTTTATTTTTTTTTGTGTGATTATATCTATCTCTCGTTGTTTTTTTTCTTCTCTTTATTCGGGGTCATATTCATATATTCAAGTATTATATGAATATCTATTGAATTCACATGAGCATTAGATGACACAAAAAAAATTTTTTTTCGTTTTATTTTCGTTTTTTTTTTTTTTTCATGGTAGTCGCTGCTCTCTCTTGACTTGATTCTCCAGCAAACATCTATTACACAATAAAAAATTACATTTGTTTGTGTATGTGTATGTATGTTTATCGTATCGATGATGTACATTCGTATTAAATAGATCTCAATGAAAAGAAAAGAACGTATTGTTTCATTCTTTGAGCTCAATAATTCATAAATAAACATATAGTAAGAAATGTATATTGCATAAAAATCATAATTTGATTAGTAAGATGTTCGATACTTGATGTTAACCAATTTTTTTCAGTAGTTTTTTTTTTATTTTGTTTTTTTTTTGTTCAATTCTATATTTGTTCATTGGTTTGAGATGATGGAGAGTAAAATTCTTAAAATTTAATAAGTTGATGGCGGAGTTTTTCATTTATTTAAACTGTTGAGACTATTACTATGAAAGAATTTTTGATATGATTTATGATGTTTGTCTGTTACTTTTTCTCAATGAATTTTTTTTCTCTGTCGTAATAATACATTGAGTAAAACTTAGATTAATTAACTCAGATATTGATGCCAATGAATAAATATTTTTTCTTATACAGACTACTGGAAAATTTTTTGCACTTCTTTATCTATCTGATCCTTTTTCCTCAATATATTATGTGGGCAGGCATTGACATCCACAAACAGGATGTCAGAGATATAAATTTATTCGATAGCAAGATTAAGGAAGACAGGAAAAAGAAAGAGAAAAAGATGAAAAAAAAAGTACTTAAAAAGCTATATGGTGTGTTGGCCGAGTTGTAGTGATGTTTTCTGGGGCTTTTTTTATTTTTTTTTTTTATGAGAAATACATTCAATTTTGTGGTAATACTGGTTATAGCATGAGAAAGTGTTGATTCGATTGTTGCACACACATACATATATTGTTGATTGAAAATTAAGCTGTTGAGAGAGAGAGAGAAAGAGTGTATAGATGTGATAAAACAATGTTGAACTGATATAAAACAAGAACATGCGATTATAAAAATATGATTATTTTTTTTCTATTATTTAGTTTTAGAAATATTTGAATGTAAGGTAAGATTTGCACAAGGGTCAGTTGTAAATTGATCGATTACTTTATTTTTTTTTTTTTATTGGGATAATCGTTTAGAAGAATATTAACATTTTCTTAATTTCTGTAATTCTAACTCGAAAAATATAAACGAACATATTGATTGAAAATATAAACTATCTCCAATATATTAACTTAACAAGATACAATTTTTGATGTTTAGTTGTTACATATATTTTATTTTATTATATATATCATCATTCTTATCCATATCAGTAGCATTTTTTCTTATCTTTAGATTCACCGACAGATTTATTACCCGATTTAGTTTCACAATCATTGACATCTCATTTGACTACAAGTGATGTTAGTAGTAGTACCACCAGTAATCGTTCATCATCATATTGTTTATCTCCTGATAACGGCAATACAATAGACGTAATGCGTAAAATGACATATTCGTCATCTCCTTTACGATACTATCCAGATTTAACCGTTGAAGGTGTTTACGATGAAGCTGCTCTTATTGGAAAGGATTTTGAACGTATTATTGAACTCTATGGCACGGATACAATTAAAGATCTTGTACCAAAAGTAATTCGAATATTAGAATTGTTAGAAACACAAGCAGCTAAAAATGAAAAAGAAACAGATGAATTAACAGAGTTAAAAATGAGAATTGAAAAATTAGAAATGGAAAAAAATGAAACGAGAGGATTGAGAGAAAAATTCGATAAAGTAAGTTGATTTTGTTTATTTTTTAAGGGGAGGAACGACTATTCACTCGGCTTTTTCTACCACTCTGTACAGGATATGTCGAAATCTTCTTTTTGCGGTTACTGGATGGTTCCTACATTTTTGTTAAATTTAGTCTCGATTTTTTGCTTCATTTCTACAATATTAATAAAATTTTCGACAAAAACTCTTCAATCTGTTGCCATTCAGTAGAGCATGTCGAGGTGTATCCACAAAAAAATTTTCATATTTTGAGGGGTCAAGTCTGACAGAGAAATTTAGATTTAACTGACGTTATGTGTTTTTAATGAAAAAAGTATTTTTAAAAAAGCCTTGAACAAGATTTTGCACGATAGAAGCATTTTGAACGAAAACTGTACGAATGAAAGTTGTTCAGTGTCAAATTCTACATGGGATGAGCGAGAGAATTTTTGAAATTCCTAAAACTCGAGTTTTAATTCAAAAATACTGTTTTTAAAAATTTAATTTAGATCGAGTTTTAGGAATTTCAAAAATTCTCTCGCTCATCCCATGTAGAATTTGACACTGAACAACTTTCATTCGCACACTTTTCGTTCAAAATGTTTCTATCGGGCAAAACCTTGTCCAAGGCTGACCCTTTTCCCGAAGAAAATGAGTGATTTTCAAGATGTCATTTTTTTCAGAACTAATGATAGCAACGCAAAAAGCGAAGAAATATCTCGTCTTACACAAAATGTTGCGGGCAACATAAGAGGCTATTCTACCTGTTCATGTGAGTTGAATTTTCCTAAAAAGCTCCCCATGCCCCCCCCTCCCTCCCTCCGTTAATATTCATATTATTCAAATAAATGACTTATACTATAGGAACTTGAACAAATCGAAGAACAATGGCGAAAAGAAGTGGATGATTTAATGGCATTAGTATCAAAATTGGAAGATGAAAATAAACGTTTGCGTGATGAAATTGACAAAGGTGGTTTTAATAAAAGTACCGAATTACCAAGTCCAAGTGATGTTATAAGTAAAATACAAAAAAGAAATTTCTAACATTCTTATAAAATTCTTATTACTTAAAAATTTTAGGTATAACTCGTGAAGAATTAGAATGTATTAAAAATTTAACAGAAGAAAATGTTAAATTGAAACGTTTTATAAAAACAAAAGATAAAGATCTTACTCAAAAAATGTTGGATATGGAAGCGGTATGTATTTATTCAACAAATTCTCAATTTTCTTCTATTTAAAAGAAAAATATTTTTATTTTACTTAGATTCAATCACAATTGGAACGTGTGTGTAAAATTAATTTTACTTTAAGACAAAAGAATACATTTTCAACAAATCAAACACAACGTTTATTAATAGAAAAATCAGATCTTGAAGTACAATTAAAAGATAAAGAAAATTTTATTAATCATATGAAAGAGCGAGTAGTGATTCAAGGAACTGACGATTTAGCTAGTCCTGTATCATCTATAGTTAGTAAAATTCATTATTTTTTTCTTAATTTTGTTTTAATTATATTTTTTGTTCTTTAATTTAAGGATCCATTACTTGAATTAACTGATACGAATCGTCCACGTTTTACACTCCAAGAATTACGTCAAGTATTGTGGGAAAGAAATGATTTGAAAACAAAATTATTAGAAGTTGAAGAAGAACTACGATTTTTTAGAGATCAGTAGGTGTTATATCACTTTTTTCATAAATGATTTAATAAATATGAAGTAATTCATTGTACTTTTAGAGAAGATGAACTCGAGGGAGCTGTACAAGGGTAAATGATTTATACTCCCAATATTTGATTAGATATAAAAATTCATCGGTTTTTTTTCTTCTTCTTTATTCTAGACCAATCAATAAAGAGCCTGAAGAAAAATTACTTGGCTATAAGCGTGAAGAATCAAAAATTCGTCAATTGTAAGTTTGTTAGTTTTCATATTGTTTTTAAATTTTATTTTACTTATTACTCGTGCTTATCCGACACTATACCTCCTTAGACGCACACATACACAAAGAGTCATGCTTTCTTTGTTCACCTATCAGAATTTATTTATTGCTTGTTTCATTTACAAGAGTACCGAGGGAGATAGCAAGCCAATTTGTTATCACTCTTCAATTTATACTTCTTTTCACATCATTTTTATTTACACTTCGTATTTTTTTTTCTCTTTCTATGTCATCTCAGTATCAAATTTTGTGCGTTTTTTCCTTTGATTGCTTGCTTTGCCATTTTATCGTATTGGTAAGCTTTTTTTCCTTTTTATACAAAAGTTCATTTGTCTGCTAATGCATGTCAGAAGAATATTTTATAAATAGGCATGCATGGCTGCTTCATCCTCGGATACTTTGATTTTAAAGTAGAAATTTTAAAAGATAATTCTTAAGTTGATTGGGATATTCTCGTTTCGTCGACAAATCGGACGCTTCATAGAATTTCAAGGTGCGAGGGGTAGAGATGGACGAGTCCGAGTCACGACTCGAGTGACGTTTTTCTATGACTCGGACTCGAGGTGAAAGACTCAAAAAAATTGATAAACTGACTCGAGTCACTTTCGAGACATTCATGTAAAACTTGGGACTGTTATGACGGTGTTTATTATATTTGTTATATACCAGAAGAGGGAGAGAGAAGAAGATCGCGTCACATGAGAGGATTGAAAGAAGACCCGTTCTTTTTGAAAAAATGAATCAGAAGCAAGTTTTGCTCAAGAAAATAACTCGGAGTGATTCGAGGTGACTCGAGTCAATTTTTGATGGGACGCGGATTCGAACCTCGACTCAAACTCGAAAAAGTGATGACTCGCGCCTATCTCTGGTGAGGGGCGGTGTGAGAGTAAGTTGTCGACAAAACAAAAATATACCATTTGATTTTGAATGCATGGAAAACTAAAATTAACAACGAATGAATAGATTCAAATTTAAAAACATTATAGACCGACTTATTTGTAGATTACCTTCTTTTAAACAAGCTATGATTACGTAAGTACTATTTCACAGAAATGTTTTCTCATGCACTCCTCAACTTTCTTTTTTGAATGGTACATGTGAGTTAGTTTTTAATTAATCAACGTGTGGGATTTCTACTAACAGAAACTAGCACAATCGGCTTAATATCTGAGCATGTTGCAATATCAACTAAAACTGGTACATACGAGTAGAAACGTAAAATTTCAGAAAATGGAAGAAAAATGAAATAAAACTTTTCTAACAGTGGAAAAAGCTTTTTGAGAATTTTTGAAATTTTGACCGTAGTAAGATATAAAAAGAATCGAATTTAACACTATTTTCGGATGATCATACGGAAGAGTGGCACAAAATTTTTTTGTTCACAAAACTTGATAAACATAGGGAACTTTCATTTTGGTAGAGAACGATGAGCTTGTACATTTTCCATTCGGGTCTTTGATTTAACGTTGTCTTGTTGCGTTCTTACTAATCTGGCTAATTTAACTATTTTTAAAAATTTTTTACTAAGATTATTTTATTCTTACAAAAACAGAAGATGATAATTATAGCATTATACACACTTTTATTTTTGCATCTATTCTTAAATTAATTAATAATCAATAATCACTACTTTTCTCTGTTGTTTTGTTGCGTAATTTGTGTTGTCACTTGATGTTATTTCTTTTAAGTTTACGAACTATGTTGCCAACGTTCAACCCGTCATCATCTTCACCACCAACTTCAAGTGTCACACCTCCATTATCCAAACCAAAATCAACTGCACGTCGTTCAAGTCCCACTCTACTTCCTTCATCTATAATGAAAATGCCTTTGACATCATCAACTCATTACAATAATTCGTCTTCCCCTTTATCCCCATTACCAAAAAAACTTACATTAGAAGACATTATAATAAAAAAAACAACGAAATCAAATCATACGAATAGTGATACTCCATTATTATCGCGTACAGTACCTTCATCCTAAAAATATACTATATTTATTTTTATAAGCATTTTATTTGATACTGTTGTATTGTGACATCAACTGTTAAAACAGTGTTGTGTATGCTTGTTACTTGTTTGGTAATTATCATGTTTGCTTTCGTTAACTTCTTGCATCCTATTTTTGTAAAAACAAAGAGTCAGATAATTTACAGTGTGCTTAACTCGACTTTGAATGCTATTGTCTACAATTTATTGTAAAAAATTTTGTTTCCTTCTTTTCTAGTTTTCGTTTCGTATTTGGTGATTATCCTTCTGGCAACATCAGTTTGGAGGGAACAACAGCGCCACCTAGTCCACGAAAATTTCCATTTATTGTCGATGTTTTACGATAGTTTTGTTTATCTTTTATTTTTCAATTGTTTTATTCCTATTATTCATTTCTTCTGTGTACAATATGTTGTTTAACTTCTACAATCAAACGTGTGTATTTCTATTTTTCTTGTTTTTGATTAATCCTCGTCTTTGTACTTTAAAATCTACTTTGTATATTGTCTGATTATAAATGAACAGTGTCAACGAAAAATGTACATTAATCTTTTTGTTTGCTTTGCTCATGTTATCTTAGCCGATTTTGGGGTTCTTTTAATCAATCAAAATAGACAGATCATATTTTATGACTTTTTTTTTGTTTAAAAGAATTTAACACAGTCATGAAATGCATTTTAATTTATATGTGTACGTATTTTTCAATGAAATTATTTTTTGGCTCAGATAAATCTCCATTTATTTATATGAAAAAATTAACTTTATCGTTATTATTTATGTCTTTGTGTGTTTTTAAGAACTTTACCGTTGCATTTGACTTTTATTGTTTGATGAAAAATTGTTTGAACTTGAAAGAACTTGTCTGTGTTTGAACTTCTATTTTAAAGATTCCACCCTCTTTTTCTGATCTAATTTGAACAGACGACTATTATATTATGTATGTTTTTTCATTTCAAGCTGAGTTTTCGAACAATTAGTACGGTGGTTCGTCATAGTGGACTATTCTATACAAATGATTCTTCTGATTTTTTTCTTTAGACCTTAATCAAAATCCTATCTTCGTTATAACGAATACGTACTGAAAATCGATTTTTTTCTTCATCGCATTTGTCAAATAGAAGAACAGAAATAAATTCTGAGAATCCTAGTTTTCCTTGAGACATAGCTGATTAACTGCGTAGCATTTGATAACTGGAACTGTTAGCTATTGTTTATTAGATAGTTTCTAGAAAAATTGATTGAAAAAGTTAACAGATTTCTTTTGACTCAGTCGGAAGAGAAGTGTGACCATTGGAGAAAAGTCTTTAGTTTCATGTCTGCGGACGAGTTATTTATTAGAACACAATACAAAATCTCAGCAGTTAGTAAAAACATAAGAATACAAACGAAAGACAAGAGAAAGCGAAAGAGCAACAAACGCGAGAGCTGAACATCCTTGTAGACTAGAATTCAAAACAACCGGCTAAACTGTATCCTAATAGAAGATTATTTTAATTGATTTGATTTGATTTTTATTTCAACAACAGCAGTTTTGAAAGAGTAAACTTTAGTATTACAGTACAAAAATTTAACCAATACATAAACATGTTGTCAGGAAAGCAAAAAAGGTTTTAAACACCTATAAAAATTGCCACCTTTCTATCCTATTTTGATTTTTTTCCCCTTTCACAGTTGTAGGTGCTGCCTCAGTTTGGTTTTGAAAGATTTATTGTTGGCGAGATAACTACAATATTGGGGAGAGAGTTCCAATCGCGAGCTGTCCTGTACAAAAAAGATTGTAGAACAGTTTCAGTGCGCGCAAAAGGGATAAAAACTTGTCTGTTATGCTGTAATAGACGTCCGGATCTTCTACTCACATCAAACTGTATAAGATTGAAACGAGATAAAGGTGATAAGCCGTTAAGGACTTTAAAAAAATACACTAGTCGGAAATACTTCCTACGCACGGAGAGTAAAGGTAATTTTAGTTTTTCGACAAGGGCTTTTCCTGGTGAATGAAAATCATGTGTGATCATGTGAGCTGCTATGTAGAATACAAATAAAATAAAACGTAGTAAAAACATAACAATGCAACAAAGAAACATTACTTGAACAAAGCCTCTTGATCTGGACATGAGAGAAGATGTAACCATAAGTAAGTGTATTTGATCAACTTTTCTAGATATTATCTAATAAACAAAGCTGACAGGGCCAGTTCACGTTCTTTTAAACTTTAATTCTCACCTCTCCAGTCCAATGGTTACTGAAATTGGGTTACCCCATTGTATCTGTGCCCAAAGGTACCGAGACAATGAGCATTAGATAGTTTGTCCCAGACTATCACGCGACCGCCGTTGCCGGGATTCGAACTACGTTGTCTGTCCACTAGCCGACCGAACCACGCTACTCTAAGTTCACGTTCTTTTGAAAAGAACGAAGGAACAGTTCACGTTCAAAAGAACAGCTGGAACTGTGCCTCCTCTACTATGAAATGAATCAGCTTTTATACGGACCAGATTACAGAGCACATCGGGTCGAAAGCTCATATTTAAAAAGCGATTTTTTTCGCTAAAAATGTGAAAACCTTTTTATTTCTCTAGAAATCCTAAAATTTCAATATTTCAATAGTACAATTCTTTTTAAACTGCTGTGCTCTTCTAAAACCATACTGCGTGAGTACTTGACTTAAAACGGTCAAGATAGATGTAGAGATCGGTCACCAGAATCATGAGAGAGCCATAACTTTTAACTATACTTAATCTATCTAATATTTTTGAATAAGCGAAATTGTGGCTTTTTTACACAATATAGCGAATGCGCAAGATATTTTATTTAATCCTCTCAACGTAAAATTATTAAGTGCTGCCGATGTTGATTCTCTATACTCTCTCTAAGAGCCAGGGTAACCAAACGATTTAAAACTGCGTAGAACGATATTTTAGCCAAATCCCAAAACCGTTGTATGGATAGGGCAAAGATTCTAGGTAGTGTGTTTCTGACCTTCCATAGTGAGATGAACTTCTATTACCTATGAAGAACATGTACCATCTTTGATGTGTATTTATTATTAAAAATAAAGAACATAAAAGCTTGTTCAAAAGATGAAAGTAATAAGACAGATGTAAACTTCATAATGACATAAAAACTGTTTTATTAAAGAATTGTATTCTTTAAAAGAAAGTTAAGGTTTAATAAAACATGAGAAAGTATTTATATAGAAAAGGTGATTCACACTGTTTTATCTATCACTGTTGTCTGATTTTCTCAAAAAAACTAGTGATAAACATGATATAGAGTATCACTCGGATAGAGATTCAAAGAAATAAAAAAACGGAAAAAAAAACAATCAGTTTTTTTATAACAATACTGAAAAATACTGTTGGCACATAGAAAAAAAGATGAGACATCACATGTACTGTCAAACGACGGACTGGCAGTCATTTGGAAAATGAAGAAACAAAGTTACTTAAAGATAACTTGATTTTATAAATAAATACAATAAAAATAATAAACGACAAAAAAAATGACGATATTTCTTGAATGATATTGTTACGAATGTCTGAGAAACTAAAATAAAAATAATTTTTAAATAAATTGATGAATTGATAAAACTTAACAGCTTCGTTTTTATATGAGTTTAAAAGCAAATGATTATTGCACCTCAAAGTAAGTACTAAATTAAATATAAGCGTTTTGAAAAATATCTCTTAGAAAATTTTTACATGATTTGACCATGTCGAAACGGAATTCGAATTATTAAATATTTTGAAAGTTATTAGGTCAAAGTCAAATCAGAAGTTGTCTAAATAGTATTTTAAAAAACCTATAAAAAATGCCCTTCATTTGATTGAAGTGAAGTACGCTGTGACATAATATTTGTTTATCAATTCTTGCATCAATTTTGACCCACGATTATGTGAAGAAGAGATAGCTGTGACTCGAGAACACTTGAAATAAGTACTTACAGAGAATAACCCTGTTGGTTTTAGGACAGGATTTGCGCGAGGTATTGCGAAATGTGGATTTAGTGCTTCTATAAGATCATCATTTATGTTATCGTCTTTAGTCAAATCGTTCATCATGTTCGAAACGAATTCTATTTCATCTAATTCGTCAAAACCAGAAAATGAATCTGAATTATCACTTCTGACTTGTAAACTGTTTAACGTATCGATTGTAGACGAAATTTGTGGACGTGGTATTGAACTACGAATTGACGTAATATTTTCTAATTTTTTAAAAAACTCACTATCAATGGATCCTGGAGGTTGTTCGCAATTGTAGGTAGTACGATATGATGATGAACTCAATTGTTCAGCTAGTAAATTCGATGGCCGACAATTATTTTCATTATTAGATTCAATACTATCGAAATCACTTCGGTGAACGACTGCCATGAGACCCAATGTTGGAAGTTTTGCTCGTGGAAGATGCCACGTTCGTTTCATCAGTGGTTTTTTACTGAAAAAGAAGAATACAGTATGAAATGAGACTAAAACAGAAATCTTCTTCACTAAACATACATTTTTAAATTTTGCCGTTTTTCATGGACAAAATATGCGCACAAACACAAGGATACTACCAGCAATAAACCAGCGACACCACTAATAACACCTATCATGATTGTCCAATTTGCTGACAATTGTTGGGTTGTTAATGGAACGATATTGTTACAAGTATCTCCTTCATAACCTGCAATACATCTGCAGGTAGTTGCATTTACACACGTCCCTGTGTGAGTAAATTCGCATTTTTGACAAGGATTTATTTGGTTGACGAAGGGCCCTAAAAGAATTCTTTGATGTGAGAAGAATCGAAATATACAAATGTTACAAAATGTTCACTTTTTAAAATCTAAAATTTTTCAGAGAAAAATACTTTTTACATATTTTGTATATTCTTACAACTAAAGTTGATTTCTAAACCTGAATGAAGAAGTCTCGGTTGAATGTAAAAATATTTAATTTTTATAAAAAACAAGACGTATTTCAACTATCTATACCGTTGAAGTTATTAAAACTATATCAATTCGCTTACATATTTTTTCTAAAGTATCGTTCATAATCATTAAAACTGTTAGTCCTAAATTATTTGTAGCTCCATGACTCAATACAGCGTTGACCAATACTATTCTTGTGTCCACATCCAAAATACAGTATAGTTGTATGCCAAGTATATTTGAAGAACCATTGTAGTTTCTAAAATGTCATAGTACTAGTTCTTCAAAGTCGAATTCTATATTACTATTAGTAGTTATATATTATAGTAAATAGTACTAACGCTAAGTTGACGTTGACCACTAATCCATTGCAGATAGGACTATTAATATCTTTAGCGCCAGAAGTTTTATTTAGAACACCTTCGATCTAAAGAAAATGGTAAATGTACACATTTTGTAAGGAAATATTTGATTATGGTCATATCTATTCATACGTACCACTTTTTCTATGCGAATCCCTTCAGATGAAACATTGATTGTAGTTGAAAAAATTATTTGCAGATTAGTTTGATCTAATAAAGCAAAAATGTATTAAGTAATGTTTTTGTTCATTTACATTGTCATTTGATCGATATATCGAGTTTTACAGAAACTTTTCTGATCACCTGTAATTGATTGCACTGATTATAAACCCTTTCCTCTGACACTATTTCTTTTTCTACTTTTATTATTTCAAATAAGCTGTTACTAATAGAATTGGTTAGAATTTTTAATATAAATCTGAGAATACGCCACAGAATTTCGTGAAAGAACCTTTTCAAGTGCTCAAAAGCTTTTTTAATCAAACATGGATTTTTAGGAATAATTTTCGGTGATAATCCCGAATCTGCTAATCGTTTCAGTAATTTCAGTAATAGGTATTTTTTACTTAGAGGATTCTCTCATATAGGAAAATTCTCGCAAGGAGAAATCTTCTGAAAACGCTTTTAGCTTTTGATAAGAAATACATGAGGGGAACCTCAGATGAAATTTTTTCATCGAGAAAAAGTGCCTCAAACCTTTGAAAACTACATTGTTCGATACGGTTCAATGCACTTTTGTGCACTGATTTCAAATATGAACTTGTTTTTTCTTAAAAATATTCCTGGACTGAGAAAAATAGATTTTACTTTAAAACCAGAGTTTTTCGAAAAACCTATAGCGACGAGTAGGATTGACGACGCTGTTTAGTCCTAAAATTCTAGATGCTGCATAGATAGAAGAATATTTGTGTAAAATTAGATCGAGACTGAAGTTCTGGAAAAGTTTGGAAACTACTTCTATTTCTCCTCATGTTTAGGCCCAGAAGGAAAAATTCCTTTGCTAATTGATACCTGAGAATTTATATCATTTCTGGATTGAGGTTTATCGGTTTCACAATAGAAATTTTTTAGCTCTCGTCCATACGTTCTGATGCTAGTTTTTGACTAGAGATTTTCCCAGGTTTCTTAGTACATGGAACAAAAACTTTTATACTATCAAATATCCCGTATATTAATGTATATTTCTCGATATTTGAATCTAGAAAAATCGCTTTTTTGACACAATCATGATACTAACTTTTCACAACTGCACATGTGCCATTTCCAGTATATCCCATTATAGGAGCTTTAGAACATTGACATGTTCGCTGATAATACAAATTTAAATAGTATAATGTATCTTCCGCTTTACATTGGCATGTTCCAGTTGTCGAATTACAATATGACCCATTGATGCAAATGGGACATTTGTTAGAAAAATCAAATGCCATACACGTTTTATTCGTGAGTAGTACATCTTCATATCTGTTATCGTAATTACCTATATTTTAATGAAAGTAAACTGTGATATTATTGTGTGAATAGTTCTGAAAAAATTAATCTATGCTGACCATCAGGACCAAAATTAGGATTACATCGACATTCGTAAGATCCCACAGTATTTACGCAAAAGGAATTTGCGTGTGCCACACATGCCAAACTATCTTGACATTCATCTTTATCAGTACATGAAAAATCGCCTTGCTATTGAAGAGAGCATAGTATTAACCAATCAAATTGTTGTAAAAAAGTATACAAACCTGCACATATCCTTGTTTACATCCACAATAATAACTTCCTGGCGTATTGACACAAACTGATATATCACGCGGACAGTTTGAGATTTGTAACTTACATTCGTCGATGTCTTAAAATGAACATAGTTGTCGATATTATTTACGTTGACATAATTGTCATAAATGGACATTATTTACCGGAGCAGTTCGCACTATTGGAACGGTCATATCCAAGTTTACATTCACAGACATAAGCGCTAGATTGATCTGGACCTGGTAGACAATTCTCTGTAACGTTGTTACACAATGAACTATTAGCTAAAATAGTCAGATCTTATAAAAACATTCTGGGTAAAAAGCAATCAATCACTGGTAAAAAGTGAGATGTTTATTCAAGAAACATTGCAGATGTAAATGGAAAAGTTAATAAGAACACGAAAGACAGATAATAATAAAGGATTGCATATTATACTAAAAGTTGTTTTACCACAGCCTGCTCATACAATCTTCAGTTAGCTGACTCAGATGCTCTTATTACCCAACAGGAGCAATATGAAACTGTACTCTTAAATATCTTCTTTTGTAGCCTGTGGAATACAATTAAATTTATATTATGCAATTCATAAAATCAATATTTTCAATAAATATTCAAGCAAAAAGCACAACACTGTTCTTTCGTTTTACTTACAACAAAATTGTATTAACCGCTTGCACAGAGCACCGGTGTAATTAGCATTACAATTACAACTGCCATTTACATCTGTTGCATATGGATTACAAGTGCCTTGAATGCACTGACAACTCTGTTCGCAATTATAGCCATATGTATTATCGGCACAGGCTAGAATGTAACAAAAAAGTTTGATGTGAATATAGATAATTTTAATCAACATTTCTTACGTAAACAGTTTTGTCCATCAAATGATATTTTGAAGCCAGGAAATAATGAACAATTACATGTATACGAGCCATCCGATTGGGATTGACAAAATCCTGGACACTTATCATCACACCAATCTTAAAACAACATATAAAACATATAAAAATGTCGATGAATATTCAATAGTTATTATTACTTCCACAACTATTTGTATTTTTATTGTAAGTTTTGTTATTCATACAATAGTTATCGATTCCGTTGCTACAGAGTGATGTGACATTATTGCATAGTGACGAATTATTCACTAAATGCACGTCAATTTAAATCAAGTCATAAATTTTTACGTATTAAAACTTACTTTCACATACTCCAGCGCTGTTATTATGGAAAAATGTTGGATTACAGGAGCATGTAATACTGTTGGTGCTGTTATCATAGTTACATTGTGTTCCATAGGCTGGACATTGAATTTGAAATTTACCATCGGCAGTAGGATTCAAGCATTGATTGATCACTGGAATCAAAGAAAGTAGCATGATTAAAATTCTTTTTAGCATGAGATATTGTTTATATACATACAGACACATGTGTTGTTGTCAAAATAATAACCCGTATTACAGTTACACGTGAAATACCCATGCTGATTTGTACAGTTCCCAGTTCCGCTTCCACAACGATCTGTTTGATTACACTCATCAACGTCTATAAAAATTACTCGATAATAAACTTTTTTTCTTATATAGAATTCAAGAAGAACTTACCTTGGCAAGTGAAACCGTCGAGCGTGTGAAAACCTCTAGCACAGCTGTTAAAACACACATATGGTTGCGTAGAATTAGCAGGTACGATTGCAGAACAATTTTTAGGAGTATCGTAATTTATTGAGCAAGCACCGGGCAAGTCGCAGTTAGTAATGGGTTGGTCACAATATCTACCTACGAGAAAACAATTCATCTCACTAAATGTAATTTTTTTTTAATTCAATCTCTATGTAATGAACAGGACATCACTTTCGAAATTAATTAGCAGTGTTTTATTTCGTTCAATTACCAGTCTTGCCAGGGCCACAAGTGCAATATGCTATGGAAAAACTTGAACTAAGCGAATTGATACTATTATAATTGCACGACGATCTGTTATCTTGACATAAACAAACAATAATATCAACGGTACGGGCAATAAGTAGAGTATTATTATTATAAGACACAACAATTCTAAATTTGAACAAAAAGTGTACGATAAAATGGTGAATAGCAGGAATTGCATTGCTAATAATATTTTAGATTGAAGGGAAAGATAAGAAATAGAAATTTTAAAACACATGCGGCAGTAACGCTCTTAACTTTGTTGAATGTAATTAAGAGTTTCTAAAAATATTTTAAAATCTTGACAATAAAAATTTTCGATCTATTTCATACGGTCATTCTCAAGTATGTATCAGGTACAGAATGTTCAATTTAGAAGATAAAACAATATTCAACTGTATGTGATTACGAATGCATTTATCTATTTTTCTTTTATTTCGCTACAACGCACAAGAAGAAAAATAACT